TGAGGACTAAGCTGTACAGCCATTGAACCTTTTAGGGACAAAATGAATCCAAACCACAGCAAGGGACCATGGCAATATTAAGTAAGATATACATACCTAATGCACTTTTCAGAAACCTTCCATTTACGTTATCTGGGGCACATGGAGAAAGTGTAGCCTTTTTACCATGGGAACATGCTTTGTGGAACTCATGGGGCTTTCTGCTTTATGAGCGGACTAAATCCAATTGGTCCTCCCAACTAATTTAAAGTCATGATGTTGCCATAGAGATAGTATGTAGTATTGAAAGAAATTAGAGAAACCACATCAGAACAGATGGGCTTGTCATTTAATACTTTCCTAGTTCATTTTTTTTGTATTGATATTTGAAAATGCTGAAAATATCAGTTCTTAGTTTGTTGTTTTGTTGGTAAAAATGACAGTTCATATTAACTAAGATCTAAAGTACCTGTTCTATATGCTGCCAGTTTGAAATGGTGGTGAGGATAAGTTGGGGGATATTGAAGGCATGTGAGAAGGCCTTTTAAACTCTGCTCTTAGAAAATATATGTAGTGTGTGTGTATACACGTGTGCGCTACTACCTGGGTTTTAACTCCTTGCTCACTCAGGTTTCTTGCTCATGACTGGCATTCTACTACTTGAGCCATTCCTCCAGCCTGGCTTTTTGCTAGTTATTTTGGAGATTGAGTTTTTGACTTTTTGGCTTGAAGTATATTTCCCTCCTTAAGGACAATTGTGATCTCTTGCAGGGAGCTGAAACTTACCTGGAATTTTAGTAGATATAAACATTTGCCTGTGCCAATTTGCTTATCATTTACATTACAAGGCTGGCTAGAGTAAATATGTTTCCAAATAGTTCAACTTAAGGATATGATCATAATAGTGTAGTTTAATAATTGAACAAAATTTGTTTTTGAAGTTCTGGTAGTTATACTTCTATTAGCATAATTGTTTTAGATTGTTATAATCTCAGAAATCTTAACAGACTTTACTCACATTTTTATTTCTCATGTTTCACACATTTGTAGTATTTGCAAAAGGATTTTTTAAGTACTTTCCTGAGTTGCTCATGTGTAAATGTGCTTTGACCAAATCTAGACATTGACAGTTGTGGGCACTCTTCTTTAATTCATCTCTGCCCACATTAGAACTTTATGCCAGCCTGCATTGCTTCATTGATAATGGTCTCTGATGCTTCGTAGTGGGACACAAGGCCAGTCCTGAGCCTGGCTCTGGAATTTTTTTCTTCAAGATGACTCAGGTGACTTAAGTCCTTTGACTTGATATCAGTGCTAGAAAAAAATTTGTTTTAGAAGTCCTTGGTAGTTAGGTCAAAAAGCATCTGGAAAACAGAGCAGAGGGCTTAGCTATCACAGGAGTAAGAAGGAAAAATATGGGAAAAAGAATGTCACATCCACACATTAAATGGCAAGGATAGCTTAACTCCCTAGTGATTATCCTCTAAACAGAACGGGTTAGTGCCAGCTTGAATGAGTAGAATGAAGTTGTCCAGTTGTTGATATGTCTGCTGCATGCCATAGTAGTGAGGTGAGACTGCTAGTAGCATCTGCTCAAGAGTCTGATGTTTATCAAGGGCAGGCAGGCTCTGTTATGCCTAAGCTCAGGTCTTGATTTCCTGAGATTTAAACAGTGGCCTGTCAAACTAACTGGAATATTGTTTTGGTCAGAGTAGATAGGACTGCATTTTTCCCCCCATCATTTCCCTTATAATCAGTTCCTTCCAGAGGAGAAATTTCCTATCTGTAGTATTGTATGTTTTGTCCAAAACACAAGAGCTATAAAAGACCCAGGAGAATAAGGGATCTGACATGCACTGCAGGAGGATTGTCTAGAGTTGATTGTGGTTGATCATTGGTCTGTGGAAGCCAGTAGCTCTCAGTAAAGCAAGTCTTTCCCCATCCTAAGCGCCTCCTTAACACTTGCCATTTTATTCTTCCTGTTGACTTTTCTTTTTTTCTAAGGCTCAGTGTTTTGTGTACTCTTCAAAAGTACTTCCTGTTTTGAAATGTGATATACCTGGAGTCAGTCTTCCTTTCCTAGCTCTTCCAAACCTTCATCTGCTGAGGAGTTAGTTTTTCAAAACAGCCAGACGTGTTCTCCTTGAGAGCCACATTAACTTACTGACAGAGGCCTTCTTCACCTCTACGTCTGGATTATCCAGCCTCTAGAAGTCATAAGGCAACTAAAATAGGATAGTTGGGAGCTGCAGGGGGCTCATCTAATCAGATTCAGATTTCTGAATTCATAAATGTCTTTCTTCTCAAAATGGTCTCATTATCTTTCCTAATCCCTGTATTCCTTACAATTTCCCAAGGTTCTTTTCTTGCCTTTCTTCTTTGATCCTTTCTGAGTGAACTTCAGCTCATATTTATGCAAATAAGCAAGCGCTGTTTAAGCCGTGCCTCCAGTCCTTTTGTTGGTGTTTTGAGTTTGAGGTAGGGTCTGTTTATGCCTCTGGATGTTGGGATAACATTAAAGCCATAGTGAGTAAGAAAGGGAGGAAGGAAACCAAGGTGGGATATATCAACTTATTAAAGAAGGAAAAATAATTTCTGGCAAAATACTTAAAGAAGTTTCTCTAATCATAGTGTTTGTAAAGTGGGAAAGAATCCTGAATAGCTGTGGAAACTGGCTGTGTTAAGGTGTGTGAACATTTGCAACTTTATAAGCATATATCACGGTGTATTAGTGATATCTTGGGCTAAATCCATGAGATTTGTTGGTGTGAGGTGTTTAATTTCTCACATGGCCTGATGCAAGAAGTTCACTTCACTGTAAGTTTAAAGTCCTCACTCATAAGGACAAATTAGGTGGAGACACTCTACAAATACATAACTCATCTCTGGCTTTTTTTTTCTTTTGAGGGGCTTGAACTCTGGGCCTGTGCACTGTCCCTGAGCTCTTTGGCTCAAGATGAGTACTTTACCACTTGAGCCACAGCACCACTTCCAGTTTTCTGTTGGTTAATTAGCAATAAGAGTCTCATAGACTTTCCTTGCCCAGGCTGGCATTGAACTCTGCCTCCTGAGTAGTTAGAATTACAGATGTGAGCCACCGGCATCCGATTTTGCTTATTTTTCTTATTGTGATTATTTTCAGACATTTATTTTTCCATCAAGTAACATAATTGCATTCTTCTTTATGGTTGAATTGTGTTTATATAGGCCATGTTTCAAAATTCATTCATCAGTTAATACCTAGTCTGATAGTTTTGCTATTGTGAATAGTGCATATAAACATGGGTGTACAGATAACTAGTGTGTGCTGACTTCTAATTCCTTTGGACATGTGCTCAGGAATAATAGAGCAGCTTTATCTCTATCTCTTTCTCTCTCCCTCCTTCCCTCCCTCCTTCCTTCCTTCCCCTCCCTTTCTTCTCTCTGTACTTCCTTCCCTTCCAGTCCTGGGCTTGAACTCAGGGCCTTGGTGCTGTCTTTGAGTTCCTTTTTGCTCAAAGCTAGTGGTCTACCACTTGAACCACAGCTTCACCTGTAGCATTTGTGATGCTTTAATTGGTGATGAGAAACTCATAGACTTTCCTGTCCTAACTGGCTTCCAGCTGTAATTCTCAGATCTCAGCCTCCTGGGTAGCTAGGATTGTAGGCATGAGCCACCAATGCCTGGCCTATTTTTAATTTTTTGAAGATCTCCCATATTAATTTCCATACTGAATAATTTACATCCTTCCCAACAGTGTGTAAGGATTTCTTTTTGCCCTACATCCTCACCAGCATTTGTTGTTTGGGTTCTTGGCTATATCCATTTTGACTGAGGTGAGATGGAATCCTAGTGTAATTTTGATTTGCATTTCTATTATGGTGGTTAGGGAAGTTGAACATTTTTTCATGTAATTATTGGCCATTTGTACTTTTGAGAACTATTTGTTCAGTGCATTTTCCTATTTTTTAATTGGATTATTTGTTCTTTTAGAATTTGATGTTTTTGAGATTCCTTTATTCTGTATATTAATCCTTTACCTGATGAAGAGCTGAAAAATATTTTTCCTCATTTGTAGGTTGTCTCTTTGATTCCTTTATATATAGGTTCTTAAATTTTTAATTTTTTTGATATTTGTAAGGTTTGAACTAGGGCCCTTGCACCTTGCACTTTGAATTTGTTAGGCAGTCGATCTATACTCAAGTCCTTTGTCCTTATTTTTGGCTTTAGTTATGTAGGATTTCATGTGTGTGTATATATATATATATATATATATATATATATGTTGGCCTCCACTGAAATCCTATTTATGCTTCCCACTGTGTGCTAAGAGATACACATCACCATGCTCAGCTTATTTTGGTTGAGATGGAATCCCATGAACTTTTGCCTGGACTGTCCTCCTTTCATCATCCTCTTGATCTATTCCTTCTGAGTAACTAGGATTAAATTTTGTATAGAGTAGAACATAGGGATCTAATTACAGTCTTCTATTTATCAATATCCAGTCTTCCTTGAACCATTTGTCTTTTCTCCATAGACATCCAGCTCAGCTTTATACTGATTAAGTTGGTTATGGAGTTTCTAGAACTTTTCTAAAACTTTTCTGCCTGAGCTAATTTTGAACCTCGATCCTCCAGCTCTCCACCTCCTTCATAGCCAGATTTACAGACATAGTTCCTCAGCATGGTAGTTCCTGCTTGCTTGCTTGCTTGCTCTCTCTCTCTTTCTCTTCTTTCTTTCTCTCTTTCTTTCTCTCTTTCTCTCTTTCTTTCTCTCTTTCTCTCTTTCTTTCTTTCTTCCTGAGACTATTGTGAATGGGATGGTTTCATTTCCAGTATCTTTCTTACTGGTATATAACATTGCTTGGTTAACTTTTGTATCCTACTACTTTGTCAAAAGTGTTTTTAAGATCACAGTTATTTTTGTTTTGCTGTGTTTTTCTGGTGGTCTTTAGGATCTTTTAAGTTTAGGATTACTGCAAGTAGGGACAGTTTGGCTTTTTCCCTTCCTCTTAGTATTCCTTTTTTTTCTTTCTCCATGTCAGATGGGTAATGTGCCCAGGTTGTAACTAGGTTTAGAGAGAGGCACAAGTCACACAAGCGCGTGAGAACTCAACCATCATGCTTATGAACCAAAAAAAAGATCCTTACTCCTTTTTTTTAAAAAAAACTTTTTTGCTTTACTGCTATGGTTAACAATTCAAACAGTATATTGAGTAAGGACATAGAATGTGGACATTTTTCCCTCATTCCTGACTTTAGAAGAAGTAGTTTTGATTTTTCCACTTTTAGTACCATGTTAACTATAGTTTTATCTTACTTGTCCTTTTCTTGAGTTATGTTCATTCTGTTCCTAGTTTCTTTATGGGTTTTTATCATAAAGGAATGTTGAATTTAGTTAGTAACTTTTTCTTGCATGTGATCATGTGATTTTGTCCTTTATTCTGTTTACAGCTATTACATTCTGTGTTATATTTATTGATTTGTTGAGCCATCTTTGAATCCCTATAATGAAACCAACTTTATCACAATGTATAGTCTTTGTTAAGTTTTGTTTGCAAGTGTGTGTGTGTGTGTGTGTGTGTGTGTGTGTGTGTGTGTGTGTGTGTGTGTATGTGTGTATGTTGTGGGGCTTGAAATTAGGGCCTGGGTGCTTGATGTTCCTGAGCTCTTTTGCTTAAGATGAGAGCTCTACCACTTTAAGCTACACAGCTCCACTTCCAGTTTTTGAGTGGTTAATTGGAGATGAGAATCTCATGGGGACTTTTATGCCCAGGCTGGTTTTGAACCATGATCTAGATCTCAACCTCCTGTATAGCTAGGATTATAGACATGGGCCACTGGCACCAGACTGTTTGCAAGTATTTTATTGAGTATGTGCTCATTAAGGAAAGTGGTCAGTAGTTTTCTTTCATTGTGCCCTTATTGCATTTTGGTATCAGTAATACTGGCTTCATAGAATGATTTTGTTAGCATTCCTTCCTTTTCTGTTTTACAGAATAGTTTGTAGAATAGAATGTTAGTTTTTTTTTTTTTAAATTCTGGTAGAATCTAGCAGTGAATCTGTCCAGTACTGAAGTTTTCTTTTCTAGGAGACTCTTTATTACTGCTTCAATCACATTGCTTTGTATAGATGTGTTTAAATGGTTTATGTCCTCTTGGTTCAAATTGGTTCTTTTCTTCCAAATTTTCTAGTTTATTAGAATGTGAATTTTTTTTTTGTCAGTCCTGGGGCTTGAACTCAGGGCCTGGGTGTTGTCCCTGAGCTGCTTTTGCTTTTAAGGCTAGTGCTCTACCACTTGAGCCACAGTGCCACTCACTTCGGCTTTTTCTGTTTATGTGGTATTGAGTTATAGAATGCAGGGCAATGATGCAGTGTGAGGCAAGCACTTCCACTGAGCCACCTTCCCAGCCCAGAATGTGAATTTTTAAAGAACTCCTCTTTAGTTATCCTTTGAATTTCATTGGTGTTGGTGTAATATTCTTTTTCTATAGTCTTATTATTTTGTCCCTCTTTTTTTTTTTGTATCAGTTGTGGGGCTTGAACTCTGCGCCTGGGCTCTGTCCCTTAGTTCTTCAGCTCAAGACTAGCACTCTACCACTTGAGCCACAGCGCCACTTCTGGTTTTCTAGTGGTTTATTGGAGAGAAGAGTCTCATGGACTTTCCTGCCCAGGCTGGCTTTGACCCACAATCCTCAGATCTCGGCCTCCTGAGTAGCTAGGATTATAGACATGAACCACTGGCGCCCAGCCCTTCTTTCTTTTGGTTAGTTTGAATAAGAGTTCATCTATCTCAGTGAAATCTTTTCAAAGAACCAACTTTTTGATTCTTGGTATTGCTCTTTTAGTCTCCGTTTTATTAATTTCTGTTCTGATCTTTATTATCTCTATTGCTTTTTGGCTTGTTCTTGTTTTATTGAAGAGCTTGAGGTGCATTGTTAGGGTATTTATTTGGAATCTCTTTGTGTTTTTAATGAAGGCACTCATAAACTTTAAAGAACTGCCTTATGCATACCCCAGTGTTTTGCTAATTTGTGTTTTTATTTGATTGTACAAAATTTTTAGTTTTTATTTTTTAACCTTATTTCTTTAAGGATCTACTGATGATTGAGGTATAAATTGTTAATTGGAGTGTTTAGATATTTTCTAGAGTTTTCTTGTTACTGATTTCTAATTTTATTCTATTGTAAATTTACAAAATACAGAAAAATATTTCAGTTTTCTTGTATTGTTAAGACTTGCTTTATATCCTATGATATGATCTATTTAGGACATGCGTTATTCAGAAGAATGTGTATTCTGTGGGGACAGGGTAGAATATTCTGTACATGTCTGTTAAGTCCATTTTGTCTATATTGACGTTTAATTCTGAAGTTTGGTAGTTTATTTCGTGTCTGGATGACTTATTTTTTTTGGTGAGAGTGGGATATTAAGTCAGCTGCAGTTACTGTGTTTGGATCTGTGACCGAATAGTTATTTTCTTGAATTTTTTGAGATTCATCCCCTTTAGTATCATTAGTATTTTGGAATCATGTTGTGTTGTTTTTTTATACTTCTTGTGATTCAGTGTTGGTACTTCAACCATTCTCCATCTTTCCCAGCCCCACTCACACCCTCAAGTTATGTGGTTCCATTTTCACATATGTACATTGAATATATTGGATGTATTCATCTACCCTTCCTTTCTCCTTGGCTGTCCACCCTTCCCTTGACATTAGCCCCCTTCTCTATATTTATTTTGTTAAACTGTGTTGTATTTTCAATGGGCAATTTTACCTATTTTAATATTCATACCACATTCATCTTCCTATATTCTTTCTGTGCTCTTCTTAATAGTTTGAGTTGTAGTTTTAAAGAAAAAGTTTTCCTTTTCCTTGTATCTATCTGAATATCTTCCTATGATGTCAGGTCTTATAAATAGAGACTAAAATGATGATCTTGTTTCAAGTTGGAAAATTTGAATTACTTTTCTGGTTTTGTCACTTGGGTCCCAGAAAATAACTTGCCCCATTAAAAGAATTTGTTTTATGTTGAATTCTCTTGTGGATAATTATGAAGTCTTTGGTATTCTTTGTTATGTTCTATTGGAGTGCTTGCGTTACTGTCATAAAGCCCATAACAATGGAATGCAGTGTAACTTGTGTGCCCTGTTCTGTTCACCAGGGGTAATAACATTGCTTCAAACCTCTAAATGGTGTTGCCTCATGTTGGATTAATCCTGAGTTCTTTAAAAAAAGAAAAGTGTGTGTGGGGATCACCTATCAGTAGATTTAAATCTATATTTGGAAAATCAAATATGATAAATATTTAATGACCTTCTAGGGTCAACTTGAGAATATCTGTAAACAATTGTGTTATACAGCTATATAGTGATTATACTACAGAAAAATATACAAGTACTTTGTGATAGCTTTCTGTTATAGGCAATACTTAGCTTTTATCTGTATCAGCTAAAAATAAATTCATAGGAGAAAGTATAGTAGTTTCTGTTTACTATGGTTAGATTTGGTTTTGTTTGCACGTTTGCAGATAATATGTTTTTGACAATCTTTATCTAGTGACTAAATCTTTTACCCTCAGTTTAACCCTTATTAAAACCAATCTTTGAAGCCCACTCACTTAGAGCATTTGTGCAGCACTTACGATGTGCTAAGCATCCTCTAGAACTAAAACTTCTCTTAAAATTGATTTGAGGTTGAAAGGGAATATTATGTATGTAGAAATGCATTTTATTATTTTATTCAACTAATTGCATTAAAATACCATAACAAAATATAAATGCTATGCATTCATAACTAAATACACAGTTTCATTGTTAATTGAAATTGGTGAAGATGAAATAGCAATTATGAGTATTGAGAAATTGTTAAATGCCATCCCCAATTTCAGCATTCTCATTCTTAATTTATAGCCAACTTTTCCTTAAAATTATGAAGACATTTTTGGGTAAGCCTAGGATCCTAGGCTACTTGATGCTCAGAATATTTAGAAGGTCAGACAAAGTCTGAGTTGCATATAAAAATAAGCAACTAAACATCTTGTTGTTATTATGTTAATGTGCAAAGAGAAAACTAATTTATATTCCACAAAAACTATACACTAAGCAAATTATAATGTTGTAAAAGAAACAAAATACTTTATAATAGCTTGCCAGAAGCAGTATCCTCATAAGCAAGGTCATTGGCTGGGTTTCCCATTAATAATGCCTGTTGACTGGATCTCTCAGATCTCTCTGTAGCCATTATAAGTCACCTGTAGCTTTTTATTTTTCCCCCAAAACTATGGGAACTGAAACCTTTTTTTTTTGTTTGAGAGATTAAAAAATTGTATTGTTGTGGACAAACCACAGTATTTGATTGTATGTGCAAGAGCTTGCGGTCAAAATTAGCCAACTAAATTATTTGGGATAATGATGGACAAAGGCAAGATTTAGCCAGTAGCAGTTCATAGATCAGTGTTTTCTGGTTATAAAAAAAAAAGTATAAGAAAGACAGACAAGCCGGGCACTGGTGGCTCATGCCTGTAATCCTAGCTACTCAGGAGGCTGAGATCTGAGGATCACGGTTCAAAGTGAGCCCGGGCTGGAAAGTCTGTGAGACTCTTACCTCCAGTAAACCACTAGAAAACCGGAAGTGGCGCTGTGGCTCAAGTGGTAGAGCGCTAGCCTTGACCTGAAGAGTGCAGGGACAGCGCCCAAGCCCAGAGTTCAAGCCTCATGACTGACAAAAAAAAAAAGAAAGAAAGAAAGAGAAGAGATGGAAAGAGGAAAACAAGATTGCTGGTCTTAATAAATGTGTCATAATTAGATTTGGCACTTAGCAATATCTCAATAAATGTGTAGCCAAGCAACATTCATTTGTGAGAGTAGGAAATCAAACTGAGAAGTAGAAATGCTTAGACAAATTTAACGTCTTGAATAAAGTTCCAAAGTCACTATATACTAGCATATAGAGTGACAAGGACTCTGTTGTCTTACACACAATGGCACTTCTGAGTGACAGTCATTTTCAAGTGGTAGGCAGTGTTGGACCTGGCATGAAAAGTGAAGGCCTTTCTTGTAGAACCGGATTAGCAGAGTGGGGGACAGACTAATAACAGTTAATTAAGCTGAAATGCAACTGGAATGGGGCAGAACATGAGGTCA